AACTTTATAGGAGTATATTGTGACATTTTGCCTGACTCCAGCAGGTGCAGGCCTGGTTATGAGAGACTGAGCAAGGATCCTAAAGCCAGGGCCTTCGTATGGAAGAGAATCTTTCCAGACATTCTGTTCCAGGACCTTTCTCATTACTGGATGGGAAAAATTAAGAAGAATACATAGGTCTGTCTGTGCAGGAGGCTCTCAATGGTGCCTCCTCAGTGTTATGGTTTGTGTCTGGGTGTCCCCCCAAAGCCTCACACAGTCATGGGGCAGGCTTCTAGAGTTATGATTGATTCATGGTCCAATGTTGGAATTATGGGTGTGAGTGCTACACTTGCCCTGGTGCAGGTAGTTTGCACACAGTGTAAGGGAGGGGATAATGCTGCCAGCAGCCACTCCTCCATTTTGCTCTTGTTATTTTGCTGTCTTCTGCCGCCATGAACTGTTGCTCTCTGCCATGTGCCACCTGGCCTTGGAGCCAGCCAAGTATGGACTAAAATCTCCACAAACTATAAGCTAAATAAACCTTTCCTTCCTTAATTTTGGGCATCAGATATTTTGTCCCAGCAATGACAAAAAAGTAACGAAGACACTCAGTTACTGTGAACATGCTTTAGGAGGAAAAATCATGGATGGGATTTGGAAAAGGATCAAAACCTCATATCCTGGTCTTCTTAAGTGATCAGAATGTCTACTGAGGTTTATATTTTTAAATATGTATTCTTTATATATAAAATATAAACATATAAAATATGTATATGTATTAATAGAAGAATTTTTGAAAGGAGGACTATATTTCTCCAAAATTTTAGGAATAATTTTTTTGTGAAAGAATGAATAGCTTTAGTGCATTCAACGTATTTTCCTGATATTGCAAATAAGATAGTATGGTTTTGTTAGAAACATATTTAATGAAGTACTGGTCTTTTGCTTGGTGACTAGTAGATGATGTAACATCATTAAATTCTGCTGTCCCTGGTCCTAGCTGTGTGTTCAGACCCCACTACCTCCTCTGCAGTAGGCCCAGGTGAGCACTGCCATTGCATGTCCCTCAGGCTCTCCTGGGACAAGTTCTGGCAGATGCTGCTCCTGCTGCAGATCATCCTGGGGGTCTCGTGCTGTGCTTGTGAGTCACTTCAGCCAAGGATGTGGCCTTGTTCAGTACAAAGGGCACAATGAAAGCTTGGATGGCCAGGTCACCCCATCTGGTGCAGGACAGACAGACACAGGGCTATGCAAACTAAGCTAACAAATCCCAGAAGGACTTTGAATTCTTTCAGAAAACATGTAAACTTCATACCTAAAGCTTTGCCTAAATAGAGAACAATGGTTCACTATTTCAAGAAATTTTTAATTCCATGTACTACAAATATAGCTTGTTAGGATAATTGTACTACCAATATCTTTTGGTTTATTGAAAGGAACAGTTAATGTGCAATTGTTTGATCAATCTTGCATGCATATATCTTGTTATAAGTGCAACCATTTTTAAGATGATATTATGTAATATCATAACTACTGTTAATATCCTATCACCATGTTTTGAAGTTGTGTATAATTTTTATTGTTCTCTATGTTGTTTTCTTTATATATTTGTTTTTGCTATTTTGGGTTTTTTTAAATGAAAAACAAAATTTATATGTATATAAGAATAACAGGGATAGGTGTATTGGTGATGTCTGTGGTTTATTGAAAGGACCAGTCAATGTTTAAAATTTTCTTTTTTCTTGACCAATTTTGCATGCTTGAATGTGGTAATCAGAATGACTGACCTGAAAACAACAACATGCTGTATAAGAACCATTGTTGAACTCCTACCATCTTGTATGGTGAAGTTCTGCATCACTTCCAGTTTTTTTTATTACTTGTTACTGTCTTTGATTGTTTTCTCAATCTTACAGTCTTATGTCTTGTGGACTGAGCAACTTTGTTGAAGATAACAGTACGTAGTGTAGCAACCATTGTCAATTCCTATCATTTTCTTTTTAGGCCATGTATCATTTTTGTTGTTTTTGTATTGTTTTGATTTTGTCTTCATTGTTGTTTTGTTAATTTTCTTTTAATTTTTAAAATTAAAAATCTCTAAAAAAATAAAACAACATAGCTTGTATAGCCCACTATGAGGTTAGCATCTTTTCATTTTATGTACCTGATGGATTTTAGTTATTTCCCTGTAAATCATTTTAAACAAAGATTTATTTTTGTTAAAGTAAATATCAGATCCTCAAAAGCCTGATTTGTGGTTTCTGTACTTGCATATGTAAGAAAAATTCTGTTGGGATGCACAACACTGGAAATGTATCTCCTTTTCTACTACTGACATGATATGTCCATTTGATTTAATTATAGCTACCTAATGTCAACAAAAAACAAAAGTATAATGTATTGTCAGGCATTCTGTCTCTGGGACAAATTACCCGATGCATATTACTTAAGAAATCAGATGGTTTATTTGGCACAAGTTTCAGCCCATAGTCAGCTGGTCCCAAGGCAGAAACATCGTGGTAGGAGCACATAGTACCACAAAGCTATTCACATTATGGTGGTCAGGAGGCAGAACAGAAGGGAAAAGGGCAGTAAGTGATATGCACACCAAAGGCAGACCCACCAGCTCCAACTGGCCCCTCCACCTAACCACACGTTCAACTGTGAAATCTGTGCATTAGTCCAAGAATGAGCACAGCACCCCATGGTCCAATTATTCTCCAAGAGTCTCTAATTTGAAGTTGATAATTAAGATTAAATGGTACAAAAATATCAAGGTAAAAGCTTGTTCTTTGAAAAAAAAATCTTTAAATCAATTTGATCAATAGGGGAGCAAATTCCCAATTTTCGAGTGAAGAGCTGATGAATATGTGTAGTCATAAAGTCCCATCTGCCCAGGCTGAGTGCTCAGGGAGAAAGCTGAGGTGACCTTCAGCTGAGGTAAGCTCAACAGGTGCCAGGGCAGGACAGGGAAGGGGCTCCTGGGGAGTCCACACAGCGGTGTTATCTCAGGCCCTTCTCCCAGGTCAGTCATCTCTAGTTTCAGATTGGTCATCAAACACAGAGCTTTGCTCAGATCTATATGATATCACAATCATCGGTCCATTTGCCAGAGTAAAAGCTACATACTTTGTAGTTTATTTTTTCTCAGAATCTTGATTCTTTCTTATTATTGCTATTTCAGGAAGATCATTTACTTGAGTTCAAGAGAGAGTTGGCCAAGATATCACTCTGCCATGATTTCTGTACCCTTTGGTCTTCTCAGGTGAGCACTATCACAGGTCTCCATGCCACCAGAACTCTAGGACACAGGTCAAACCTGCCATGTCCTTGTACTCTGAACCCATGGTGGCTGCTAGACTGGTGGGCTGCCTTTGGATGTGAAGGTGAGAAGTCTCTGTATTCCACCTCCCCGGTCTGCTCAGAGCAGGCTGTGCCGACATGAGCTCCACCACACCAAACTTCTTCTCAGGCACAAACACAAGGGCCCATGGTGGAGTTTGAGAACTGTCCCAGTATCTTGTGTAGATCAGGGAAGCACTGGACCAGTCCAGGTTCTGAGGAACAAGAAAAGTGACCAGCCCAGAGCACACAAGAAGCCCTAATATGAGTTAGCATGGTGGGACACACCTGAGATCTCAGCACTCTGGGAGGCTGAGGCAGGAGGAAGGAAATTTGGAGCCTTAGTCTGAGCAAACAGAGAATTAGCAAGACCTGTTTTAAAATTTAGAAATATATGGGAAAGTTCCAGGTTTATTCCCAGAAAAAAAAAGAATAGAACTGTTTAGTAAAGGACTATTCAGCTTTATCATTTACACTCTTTAGAAGTGACACCTTTGCCAATGTCTATAGAGTGCAAGCCTGGATTGGAAAATTGGCTGAATAGATGGTGAGCAATGGACTGATAGGAAGACGGGGGAACTTTTTGCCTATTATTTCCTTTTACTTTTTATGTGCTCAACAAAAGTAAATATTACTTTGGGGAATAAAAACCAAAACCACCCATGGTGTTATGCAAATGAATTGTATTTTATGTCATCAGCATTCAAAGTGTTTCTCCCAGTTGTTATCACAGTCTTATTATTGAGTGATTCCTCATTACAGATTTCACAACTGCTGGCAACAACTAGCCAGGTGTTTTAATGCAATCTGCCTATTCCTAGTCCCACACCCTCCTTTTAGTGATTTCTGCTCTCTTCCCATCTACTTCTCTCCCTTGGGTGCTTTCTCTGATCATTTCTCAATTAGGCAGTCTGTTTTATTAGCCTAGATTAGACATGGTTAAAACAATGTTAGGGGAAATAACAAATGAAAAGAGTCCATAGGCAAGAAGTCATGAACACTCAGCCCTCACAAGGGGTTTGGAGGATTCAAATACTGACCCTTCTGGTCTATAGAAGAGACATAAGGTTTGGGTGGGGGGTCAGCATGTTCTCTAGGGGGAACCATGCTGGAGGACCCTGAGGTCAACTCTTGGTGGAACCATGCAGAGGGTGGAGTAGCAGATGTGGATCAGGCAGATCCTGAGTGAAGATCTGGGAGCTGAGGGTGGGAACTTCTCATGTGATCCCTGAGTACCACCTGTGGCTTGTGACTGAGACAGCAGGCTCCTACCCACTGGAGGATCTGAAAAGGAGCCTAAGATGATGCTATCACTTTAAGAACTAATTGAGTGTACACAAGATGGCCACTGTATCAATAAGCCTCAAAAACCAAAAGCAGGATGCTCCCTTATAGATATTCATGAGTATTCATGAGAATAAATGGATACAAAAGTACTTTCAATGCATGGCTCTATAACACTGTTGAATTATCTGTTTCTAAAAATTTCATCTCTCCTTGGAATTATTCTGAAGGGATTATCACAAAAACGTTGCACTTCTGGCAAGGGATATACAGCTTAGACACTTAGTTCACTCATCAACAGGAAGTCAACGATAACATACTGGATATCAGGACAGGAAGTGAGCTGGGGGCTGATCTATTCAGTGCACCAGGTGCAGCCACAAGCAAACTTTTCAGTGTGGCATAGAGCAGGTGTGAAGCACTGTGCCGGTCCACACTGCACAGTAATACACCCCAGAGTCACTTTCTTCCACATTCCGTACTACAAATTTATTGCTATGCTCTGTGGCTTGATAAGCAGTGTATTTCTCTGGTCTGAGTTCCAAATCTAGCACAGCCTTGGAACTGAAGAAGTCATAATAGAGAAGGCGTTGTGGGGCCTGCCCCTCCTGAAATCGGTACCAGTGGATGTAGCTCTTTACTGCACGCACATCACAAGTGATTGTCAGATGTGACCCAGGTTTCTTGGTGACTGTGATCATTCCCCGTTCTATGTCAGAAGATGTTTGACTGCCTGCTGGGGAAACACCATAAAATAATAAAGATGAGTTCATGGCCTTCTTTGCATGGCTAGGAAAAAAATATCTCAAGGCAACTGTGCTGCACACTTACCAGGAGGCAGGAAAGCTAGAAGCAGGGCCACAGCCCACAGCATGGTTGCTTCTCCTGGGTCTTACAAGGAGAGAGACCAGATGAGAAGAACTGAAAGCCCTCTACAAACACAAATCCTACTCCGCATGAAGGGATCCCCACAACAATGAACTGGCACTGGTCTTCCTGACTGAGGGACAGGCAGGGTGAAGTAGCTGTAGATCTGTCAGAAAATATGCCCAATTGGTGACCAGAAGGGGCGGTGCCTCCCGCTCTGCGCGCTCCTGCAGCGCCGCCGTGTGGCCGCTACGAACAGGTCATCACCAGAAGAACTGTAGCCAGTATCTCTGAGAGCTCCGGAGGAAGGCTGGCTGGGTGTGAACACGGTGGGGGGCAGAGTCTGAACAACAGGGCCCTGTCCCCTGTGGAAACAGTGACTTCATTACAGTATAGAGTTTCCTTTGTTAATGCTGCGGACATGTTCTTGTCGTGAGATGAAAATTCTTTATTATCCTGATCTATAGTGACATCTGTGAGTAGTCTGGGGCAGTCGCCAACCATAAATCAGATAATCCCTGTCTCCACTTTATTAAAAGAAACTAGGATCAATGCTAATGATGCAAGAGACACTGCTCAAAGTGAAACTGACGGGTGCGCATGTGCACAGATCACTTTGTTAGAAGTTTTCTTCTTCAAGTCAAACTGATCTTCGTTAAGGCTTACAAGGTTTTGTTTAACCACATAAAGTGCTCAGTTCAAAGAAATTTTTGATACATACTTAAAGTTTGTACAAAAAACAAAGGTACCTTGGAAACTAGGTAATTTTTTCACGTACTTTTTATTAGGGTAGATTATTTATACACATTGCTATATTTCAGTTTGATAAATTCATATATGCATCTAACATATTTTGATCATTTTAACACCCTTCATTACCCACATTGCTCTGCATCTCCTCTGATTTCACTTTTGGGGAGGCATCAAGGTGTATATGTTGAACACATCCTCCAAAAGTACCCTCCAAAAGTGTACTGACTACTGCGTTTCATTTGGATTCACTGATGGAAAGACAGATGATCAAACTAGTAAAATGAAGAAATGACAGAACTTAAAGGTGATTATCCAGATTTTCTTCCCCCCAACATTTATTAATAAATTAAATACATGTTTAAAAGATCCATAATATGGAATGTGGAACCATTTTGCCTGACAGTCATGGTTTTGGTCTCTCTCAGGTAATTCATTTTTTGCTGTGGTGACTTCTGGGAAATCAGACAGGTAAAGAATTTGGGCTATTCATCCTCTGCCCGAGGGGACCATGTGTGTTGGGACAGAGGGCTAAAGCAGGAGCAACCAGAGAGCCCAGGCCCAGGCTACAGGAAGGACAGTCTCAAAGGTCCTCATGCACTGCTACCTGCAGTTGGGAAGGTCCTTCCTGGGATAAAGGCTCATGGTTTGAAAGTGAGGGAAGAGTGTTGCTGTCTCACTACAGGGTGTGACAAAACAAACTGTCAAAACCATGTAAACAAAAATGTCAAAAAAGTCCAAACAATCAAAATGCCAAATAGGAAACTACTTCCTCCAGAGCATGAAAGCCAAGCACTGAAAAGAAGCCAATAGGGGTGCTAGAGGAGAAAAATCTGTGGGCACTGTGGAAAATCCAGAAAGATCCACAAGTGCATGACATATTAATATAGGCTGAAGGTGCACATTCACAGCAGCCAGGCTAATTAGGTACTCAATAAATTCTCCTCTGGCAATTGGCTCACTATATAGGAACAAATACTTTTATATCAACATTTCACCACTTGTAAATAGCATGTAGCTGTAATCAAACTGTGAGCACAAAGCATTCAAATTTATCATTCATAAATTGCATACAAATTACAGGTGAGATAGACCATCAAGAACAGGGGCTATAAGGAAAACTTGGTAGACTTTATGAGAAAAAAACATGCAAATTTCTAGTCACTAAAAGCTCCAAAAACTAGATAATGAGGAAATATGTTTTTTACATATTGGCTGTATGGGTAATATTTCTAAACTGGTGTTTGAGACCACTTACAAACTAATAAAAAATGAATATTCCAAAGGAAGAAGGGGCAATGAGTATAAAGGCAATATTCTTTCAACAGGAATGTAAGTGACCACCACTTTTGTGAAATTACATCAGCCCTCATTGTAGATAAGAAAATGCAAGTTGAGTGGACACATCTCACTTTAAGATCACAGCGCAGAGTTAGACTCTCCTCCACTTTATATTTTACAACCTTGGAAAAGTCAGTTCAACCCATCAACCTCACTTTCTCATCTTCTAAGCTCGGTGGTACTTGAACCCTCACGTGGTATTTGTAAAGATTAAATGAGATAATATACCTAGAGTGTGCAGCAGAGCAGCTACCAGGGAAAGAGAACCTATATTCCTTATTCTTCATTATTTCTACTACTACAGTAAATGTTATATACAAATTTCAGATGGATCCATGACACACACCCTAAATAATGTATGAATAAAAACAAGGAAAACATTAATTGTCTCAATTCCTGTATTTATAATCTTGAAGTATGTGTATTATTTTAATTAAAGCATGAAATCTAATTGCTACAAAATAAAAGAATGATTAAAATTTATAAAACTGAATGCTTCTGATCCAAAATACAAACACCAAATTCATTTTTTTATTTTAGAGAGAATAAAAATAATAAAATGATAAAGGATTTCAAAACAAGATGAAAGCAAATTAACAATGGTTATCATATTGCATATTGTTATCTTCAAAGTAGTTGCTTAGATTACCAGATATAGGCATGCAAATCTGATCAGACAATATAAACACTAATTGTTCCTTTCAATGAATTAATAGAAATTAGTAGTACAATTAGCTATCATGTGTGTGTGTATATATATCTATATATATGTATATAGGTATGCATACATATGCATAATATATATTACTTCTTTCTTTTCTCCTTTCCCTCATTCCAGTTGTTCTTTCCTTTGAGCAGTTTCTTTCCCTTTCACAGTATCTATTGTACCTTTTGAATCTTCTTTACTCTTTCATTATCTTACACTAGCAACACAATGCAATATTTACACATGTGAATCTCATTTAGTATACTTATGAGTATGGTCTCCAGTTGCATCCATTTACCTATAAAAGCTGTGAGTTTATTTGTCTTTTTATCTGAGTAATACCCCATTATATAAAAGTACCACATCTTTTTTATCCATTCCTCAGTTGCTGGGCATTTGGCTTGTTTCCAAGATTTAGCTATTACAAATTTTGTTGCTATAAATATGTGTGCACATATGTTGTTGTGGTATTATGTTTTAATTCTTCTGGGAAAATACTGAGAAGGGAAATAGCTGGGTCAAATGGGACCTCTGATCCTAGTTTTTTGAAATATCTCCACCTGATTTCTGAAATGGTTGCAGTAGTTGACAGTCCCACCAACAGCAAAGAAGGGCTCCTTTTTCCCCCTAAACCCCACTAACATTTGTTATTGGTTGATTTTCTTCAGACATTTGTTTTTGGGGGTTTTCTTGGTACCAGGAATCGAACTCAGGACCTTGCACTTGCCAGGCAGGCACTTATGCCACTGAGCTGTATCCCCGGCTCTTGTTATTGGTTGATTTTTTCCATGATAGCCGTTCTTTCTGGTGTGAGATGGAATCTTGGTGTTATTTTAATTTGCATTTCTCCAATGACCAGTGATGTTGAACATTTTTTCTTATATTCATGTGCCATTTGTATTTCTTCATCTGAAAAGTGTGTATTCATCTCACATGCCCATTTTTGGACTGGGTCTTTGAATTTTGGGGGTCTGATTTTTTAAATATTTTATATATTCTAGATAGAAGCCCTTTATCTCAGGCACAGTTGGCTAAAATTTTTTCCCAATTCATGGGTTTTCTTTTCAATCTGTTGGTGATTTCTTTTGATGCGTAAAAGCTCTTTTATAGGATGAGATCCCAATTGTCAATTCTTTGGAGTGTTTCTCATGCAGTTTGGATTTTGTTCATGAACTGTGCCTACACCTACAACTTCAAGATTTCTACTTACCTTCTCCTCCATCAGATTTAGTGTTTCTTTTTTAATATTTAGATCTTTGATCCATTTTGACTTTACTTTGGTGCATGGTGATAGACATGGAGCTAGTTTTAGTCTTCAGCATGGGGAAAACCAGTTTTTCCAGCACCATTTACTAAAGAGGCTATCTTCCTTCAGTGAACATGTTTGCCCCTTTGTCAAAGATAAGGTGGCTGAGTGTGTTTGTAGTTGTGTGTGCATTTTATAATCTGTTCCACTGATCTTCAGGTCTGTTTTTTGCTGCACCATGCTGATTTTATCACAGTAGCTTTGCAGTATAATTTCAAATCAGGGATTGTGATGCCTCCTGCCTTGCCTTTTTGCCCCATATTACCTTTCCTATTCTAGGTCTTTTCTAGTTGCAGATGAATTTTAAGAATGTACTCTCTAGACCTATGAGGTATGTTAATGGTATTTTGATCAGGATTGCATTAAATCTGTATAACAGTTTGGGGAGTATGGCCATTTTCACAATGTTGATTCTTCCTATCCATGAGCATGTGATATCTTTTCATTTTCTGAAATCCTCTTTGATCTTTTTTTTTCATAGTCCTGTAATTTTCAATGCATAGATCTTTTACTTCCTTTGTTGTCTTGATTCCTGAGTATTTCATTCTTTGGACACTATTGTGGAGTGTGTGGTTTCCCTAATTTCTCTTTCAGTGAGTTTTTGTTTGTGTACAGGAATGCTATTGATTTTTGAGTGTTGACACTGTATCCCCCTGTGCTACTGAATTTGGTTATTAAATCTAGAGGTCTTTTGTTGGAGTGTTTGAGGTCTTCTATGTACAATATCATGGCATCAGCAAAAGATGATAATTTCATTTCTTCCTTTCCTATCTTTATTCCTTTTATTTCTGTCTCTTTTCTAATTCCTCTAGTTAATGTTTCCAGAACTATATTGAATAGGAGTGGTATCAGTGAACATCCTTTTCTTGCTCCTGAATTTAGAGGAAAAGCTTTCAGTTTTTGTCCATTTAGTATGATGTTGGCTGTTGGTCTGTCATACATGATTTTCATCAGAATGAGGTAAAGAGCATCTATTCCAATTTTCTGTAGGGTTTTTACCATGAATGAGACAAACACCAAATTTAAATA